CGGGAGGAAAGAAAGGCAAAAAAAAGCATATGTAATTTTTAAAAATAGTTCCCAAACAAAAATCCTAACTATCCCGTGAACAGTGAATGTCGGCCTTCAGGATCACAAAATCTTTTTCGTTGAGGAAAACAGATCGTCCTCTTCTTGATTAAAAGTTAAACTTGCACAGCAAACGAGCCTGGCACAAAGTTTTCCCTCACTCGACCCGCACTTCATTGGACAATAATCTACACATGGCAATCAATTTTCTGACTGATTTGTTTCGAAAATTTTACTCTTTCAGATCATTCATGTTTTATTTATGTTATCTGCCACTAGGAAATACAGCACTGCAGTGCCGCACTCAAAGATGAAAGGGATGGGTGGAAAACATCGATCAAACCCGTTTGTACTGATAAGAAAAAATGACGTCAGGTCGCCACGAAAGGGAAAATGCAAAGTGTAAATGTATCAGAGGGAGCAAAAAATAGCTCGACGGGTGTAAAGATTAGTCTGCAGAAGTTCATCAAAGGTTCTTTTTTCCTAACAGGGAGATCCTGAAATCAACTCAAAAGTGGAAAAAAACGCACGCAGATTTCCTCTTTCATCAAATATTATTTTTACAGCGTGCTCAGCAGATATACGAATCGGGAAATCATCACGGAAATGAGTTTTTTTTTTGCTGAAACGCTGTGAAAAACATGCTTCGATGACATCATCTTAAGAAGAATGGTATTGAAGAACGATTGCGTAAAATTTTCTTGGCTCGTAAGGAAGCTGGAAATCTGAAAAAAAAAAGTTCGTCGTGCTGCTGCCAGTTTAAAATATTTCCAGAAAAAATGTAACTTGGGCGATGAGACAAAAATTAAGAAAATATTTACCTGAATGCGTTGCCAAATAAAAAATAGATTTTGCCTTCAAGTGCGAACTGAAATATAGTGCCTTGCTTCGGGATGACTGAAAAAAAAAGTGATGAGAATGGAAGGAAAAAAAACCGCGCATAAAGTTGTGTAGGTGCAATGAAAACTGGTATGATAGGAAAGGTTAGAGTGACCAGAAGAAGGGGAAATTATTCACAAACAATAAAAAGCTAACTGAGCACACGATCCTGTTTAGTGATCAGCATGAAGGTCTGTCGAGTCTCACGAACCACAATGCCACAGATACCGATCTGCAGGGGAGTACAATAATAACGCGTAATGTGATAATGGGAATTACCAGAAATTTTGCAAACGCCTCTTAAAAAGAAAATGTGAAAAAAAAAGTTTGTCATCGAGTATAACTTGGACAATTCTCGA